TCTATATATATATATATATATATATATATATATATATTGGATAGATATGTCAGGAGAGAACGACACTGAAGTCTTAAACGTAAAATGTAAAAAATGATCTTGTAAAGTTGTACTTTGCCATATTAATCACCAGACTGCTAAAACTTTCTACCATTCTCTAATGCTTAATTCATTATTGGCGTTGCCTGTTCTTGCATGATTATTTTTTGGGGTGGGGACTTATGTTTTTCCTACAGGTGTGTTTCGCCACCTACCCTGCCTCCAAACTGTGACATTTGGGTTCAGTCTTACCTGCGATTGTGACATTCTTGCTCTAGCAAAATGGCTGAATAAAACAGGTACATCTTCCATGTACAACCTTACTGTTTTCTTTCTCTTCAATAAGTCAACTGAAACATATATACATTTAGAAAAAAATCAATACTTAGCATCCGTCGCCTAGGCAATAGTTTTATTGCATTTCTTGTTTCTTTTGTATGCAGATGTGAAGGCTGAGCGATATGTCACTTCGTCACAGCCAGTGGCTTGCTACAATCCACAGAGGTTGAGGGGACGTCCTCTCAGCAACCTTCGACAGGAAGACTTGCAGATGTCGTGCCCAACGACAACCGACCCACCACCCACGGAATCTACTGTGCAGACCTGGTAAGTGTTCACTAGTTTTTACTTCCGGGACGGAATTTCTGTTTTGGGTGGCGTTAATTGTTGTCTTTGCTGACCTTTTCTTACTAATACATGTAGTACATCTTCTTCACAGCCCAACATCTCTTACAACTGAAGTGATGACATCTCCTCGTCCTGTGACCACACCAAGCTCAACAACACCACCTTCGTCGTCCTTTACAACACGAAAGCCAGGAACATGCACCGCCCCAACGGACATCACCGTGCAAAACGTACAGGACTCTCGTGCTGAAATCTCATGGTTGCACGACGGTAAATCCATTAATGTGGACCTCACAGGATTCATTATTGAGTACCAAATTTTTGGGCAGAAGTCGTGGAAAGATACGCAAAAAGTTCACGCCGATGAACGCTACTTCACCATGGTTGATGTCGTTCCTAGCACCCCCTACCAAGCCTGTGTGGCCGTGCTCTGTAAGGGCAAGAATATACAGGCAGGAAAAGACCACTGTGTGCCTTTTACAACGAAGATGAGATCTACAACAATAGTCGGCTTGGCCGTAGGCATCCCTTTGCTGCTCGTCATCCTCTGCCTAGTAGCGGCAGTCGCCATTGCCTTAAAGAAGAGAGGACCTTTTTCTTCAAAGCATGAAGCTGGTCACTCCCCTGAGCGTCCTCAACTCCAGGTATTTCCTTAAGCTTTTCATTACAATGAGTAAACTTTGTTCTAGCCTGTGTGCCTGTTTAGTGTTCTGTGGAGTTTGTGGCTATACACCTCTAACCAAGGAGGCAATTTTCAAAAGGAGAACTACCAATATATGTGACCACGTCACTATGTCACCATGATAAAACAGTCCAACAAGTTTCCGTTTTTCAATTGCAGGAAGACAATCACAGCAAGGCTGACGCTGCAGTTGGTCCCGTGGAGGACCCGCCGTACCACAGCATCAGAGACAATCCGCAGGTACGTCCTGATCGGGAGAACAGGTACCAAAACGCAGGGTTCGAAGAGAAGCAAGGGGTTGATGGAATCACCAGCTCATATCTGGATTTGGGCAAGGCTGGGGACGTCCTCAATTCAGCAGGTTTGTTTGTCTGTTAGTATTATATACGGTTGAGTGTCGGCAAAACGATTATGGTTCCCCTAGCGGTTCTCTGTGGTATTGTAGCAAAACTTACGGTTTGATATATCTCTTCTTCTGGTCGCGCTATGGTCATTGATTTGTGGTTTTGTATAACATTTTCTATTCTCTGTAAGGAAGTATTGTTTTGGGTGGCGCTTATTCGTGCTAGGTTTGTATGTTTCGGTTCCAAAGGGAGTAGGTGGCGATCCAATCGGGTTTCACTTGAATTGACAGGGTTTTGACCCAGTATGCCCGAGATTCAAGAATGTGGTTGCAGGAAATGTATGAAACATGAACCATGGTGTAAAAGTGGAGTAAGCTTTATCATACAATCGTATGAACAATAATACATTCTATGACGGAACGCATTAAACTATATCCACATCCTGGAAGTTCAAGAAGCCCGTAGTCTGTAAAAGAGGCCCGTAGCGTTAATGTATTTAAGAACATGTGTCAGGCCCACCTGCTCACATAGCAGAAGCTCCAGTCGTCCCGGAGACGTCGTGGCTCCAGACACGAGAACATTCTGGCGGCTAGGAACCGCATGTACTGTACTAAGTTGTAAATGGACTGATAGATATTACTAATAGGTTTATATATTCTAATCTATGCTGATTCTTGATATTGTGATTTCATTTACTTATATGATTATTTATATTGTTTATGCCTAAATGTGTGTCTTGTTCGTGTGTTCATGCTTGTGTTGTGTGTGGACCACAACACCAGCCCCCGCTGCCTGTGGCCCACGAGTAAAATCAAAGAACCCACATATTATAGAAGAAGTGGGAAAATTCGTCTTCCAGTGGCTAAAAAGAAGAAGTGAAACCCAGTTAAACTAGTACCATGTATGTTGTAGAATTTAGTATAATGCTAGACGGTAGATTAGCCTGACTAAATCGCGCTCCTGGCGGCCGCCGCCCTAGGTTGCCGCCCCCCTAGGTTGGGGTGGGGGTCATAAACGTCCAGCCGAGAGCTTGTATACACAGGCTAGACGGTAGATATTGTCCACATACCACTATATTTTCTCTCTAAGTTGTTTGTAACTGCAATTAGCCCTCGGGCATGTATTTGCAATAAACTTTCGTTATGTATTTGCAATTTCAACAAGAGTTCCGAGATCTCATACCTCCATGAAGTATGGGCTTGATATGTAAATTTCTTCCTTATTTATGCAAATGAAGAATGCGGAAGTTCTGCTGCAGTACCAAGGTCAGTCACCAGGAGGTCCAAAATCGACCTTGACCTTTGCCTACCCAAGACCTATCCACATACCAAATATCATGATTACAATCCATCCAAAGGTTAAAAAGTGCTGGCTGCAAATGTGCGGATGTGCGGAAACACAAACACACAGACACACAGACAGACACGCCAAAAACAATACCTCCATTTTTTTCATGGAGGTAATAAATCAAATCAATTGTTTTGTATCTGTGTGCAGCAAATGAGCCTCATCACGACGCACCCATTCCCGTTCCACGTGACGACCGAAGGTTCTCCGAAAGCTCCTTTAACAACCCCGTCTACACGGCGGACAGCGCCAACGAAACATCTACACGAGAGTCAACGACGACGGCCTGGACGGAGCGATGGCAAGATCGTCATCCGCAGAGGAAGACGTTTACATCGATGTTATCGCTTGATCGATAAATTTGAGCCTGCCTGCAGTAAAACTATGAAAACACTTTGCTGAATTTACAATATGTATAGCTGTGTTGGTTGACCATTAATTGTCGTTTAGGCCACAGCAGGTAATTTTTATGGATGACATCAGCGCGCGCAATAATTTTCGCCTGATTTTGGAGAGAAGAAAAAACAAGACATTTTGTTGCCTTCTGCCAGTGGTCAACAAGCCGGAAATGGGCAAAGATGTCTGTTGCCATGCCGGAAGGTGGATGGCAGATAGCTATGAAGAGAGGAGGCAAGAAAAGGCTCTGATTAAATGTTTTTTTCTTACTTTGATGCAGTGATATGTGATAGTGGCTGTGGATATGTGATGTTCCTACTGAATCAAAAGAATCTGTACAATTATTGAGTCAAAATTTTAAAATGTAGGAACCTTGTTTTTTCGGCCCGCCTTGTTTTTTTCGCCCGCTCGCATTGGATTTTGAGTCTGTGGAGGATGTCATCCATAAAATTTCCTTGCTGTGGCCAAATAAGGCTAATAAGGCCTAAGGGGAGAAAAAAGAAGAGAGAAAAGAAAAGAATGAAGCAACCGGCCGTGGCACCATCTCTTTCTCTCGCCCGACTGTATATAAAACATCTATATAAGTTTAAAAACTTTAAAAACTTTGCTGACTGTCTACAATTTGTATGACGATATCTGTGTTGATTGATTATCATTACGGGAATTGTCATATTGTGTTTTGTTTTCACGATGTATACCTCATTTTATCTTTCGTATTTAGGTGTAAAGTTATATGATGATTAATCTTTAGTACATGTTCTTGCCAGATGGGCTAAATGCACAAGAGGACATGCAGTATGCAGAACATGATTATTGCATACTGGAACGCTATATTCTAATGCTAATTGCTAGGAATTAATACATTATAACAATACTATATAACTTTATAACCGACCCTTATACTTCCCGTAACTTAGCTGGCATGTTACGCCGAAGGGTAGTTATACCGGTTATACAGATACAGAAATGCAGATACTGAAACTCTTGAAATATTTCTACACGTATAAGACGTCATCATATAGACCAAAAAGCCACAATAACAACTTTAGTGGTGGTGTTATTACGTCAAATAAAATATAATTAGTATATCAACATTGAACACTTTAATTGATAAATAAAGCCGCATTTTTGCAACGTTTTAACCTTTCTGATTCAAAGATGCTGTTTTAGCAACATAGCAGGATACGTTATTTAACAAGACAGATTAAAGTTCATACTAGCAATTCATACTTATATCACGTTTTGACACGTGTACATAATAACAGCTTTTGTGGTGGTGTTTTTTAAAATAAAATGAAACTATTATATCAACATTGAACACGTGTTTTCGCACATTTCAGTAGTTTCCTTACTTCGCGTAAATTGGCAGCACAAATATATCCGTGTGAATATAATGATTGTATCAACCTGATAAGATCAATATTAAGCATGTCAAGGGTTCCAACTGCGCATGCGCGAGGTCAAAGGTGCAGGCCCTTCTTTTGTAAGTCAGTTTTAGCGTTGATTATACTTAATACCAAAAATACCATAATTGACGACATTCGTAAAAGAAGGCTGAGGTGGTTTGGTCACGTTCAGAGGAGACCCCCAGACTCTTTCATGGTATATGGGGCCAACCATCAGGATTTCACAAACCCCAGACCTAGAGGTAGACCCCCTAAAAGATGGCGGGACCAGATAGTACAGGACACGGGGTGGTCCCTCAAGTACGCTGAACGAAAGGCTAAGGACCGTGATGCCTGGCAGGAAAAAATGAAGAGGAGCAAGGGGCCAGTTCTGGCCTAAGCATTTAGGCAGGTAGGCAGGCATACTTAATACGTGTCCCGGCGTGTTTTGGTTGTCTCAGGGACATTCAACTTTGACATTTTACGAAAAATGCAGCACGTCGCTTGTCCTTTACCCAGCCCGGGGCGAACTGGACCTCAGTGTCTGCACAGGGCCTGAAGGACAAAAAAAATTAACTTTTGCTAGGAAGAAAGGTCAGATTTTATCTTCATCGCAGCATCGTCTTGTTTCCTCAACCTGTAGCTTGATGTGTATCAACGTTACTACGAATCCAATCACATGCATGAAATGTTCACACTGAATGTCTGTACTTAGCTGGGAGGCAAATATTCCAGCTGATTCAACTGTCAACCCTTCATAAGACGTTACAGATCATATCCCAACACCACATTCATTCATACATTAACTTGCATATTTTTAAAACTAGAAATACCAGAGCCCTGACAGCAACTACATGCACCATTAGTATTTGCATGAGAAGGTGGGAAGGGGGGAATGAACCTGCCAATTAGCCAGGCCTTCGTCATCAAAACTTGTCAGGCAACTTCTTCAGCTTGACTGCACTAATTCAGGAAACGGCGTCCAAAACCCAAACCACTTCATATGTGATCTGTCGCTTACAACTCAAGGTAAGACAGAAGTTACACACAGTACTAGCGCTAAGCCGTTTGTATACTGATGACTGTTATGTGGTCTTTAATGTGAGGCAGGTTGTCATAAATGTTTGTTGTAATCTTTCACGATCAACGTGATTGAAGATTCTGAAGGGTATGCGGCCATTTTGTAAACATGGGGAGGGTTTAAGTAAGTTTTGTTTGCATTTTGTTTTAGAATATATAACAAATTGATGTTTTGACACTAGTGTCATCTGATTCACGAAACAAATCAAGAAAATGTCTTAATATTTTTAAAAGTTAAGAAAGGCTTCTGAGGTTCTGGAAGAGACTTATGTGCAAGATACACAAATCGCACACTAATTATGTTCATTAATTCCATCTCGTTGGGTGTCAGTGCTTACTGACAAATCTGTTGGTATTTCATTCTTTTTGTCGGCAGTTGGACATGATGGCGGAAAACTTGAAGTCCTGCTTGTTGCAACTTGTGCTTGTTCTCATTGTGGTCTTCAAAACGGTGTCTGCTCAGTACTGTTCGATGCAATGCCGTTGTGAAGGTACAAGTATTTATTAACTTCGCCAGAAGGTTACATTTTAGGCAGCGTTTGTGTGTCTGTTAGTTTACATAGGTTTTGTCAGTGTTGTCGGTCTTTTTGGTATTCCTAAGTTTCATAATCATTTTAACTTATTTATATGCAAAAGCCAAGGATGACTGCCGAAGACAAGCAATTAAATTTTACACAGATTGAATATATGAGGGGCAGTGAGGGGCATATATACCAACTACAACTAGAAACGCGAAGAACTCATACATCTACAATTAGCTGAGATACGAAAGAAGGCATTAAATCAGTACAGTACTGTGCTCCTAACCTACTTCGGAATTTTCAATCATGCTGAATATTGATAATGCAATTAAATTCGATTAAAGGTACTACCATGGACTGCAGCCACGTAGCTTGGGTAAGATTTCCTCGTGACGAAGCCATATTTTCTTCAACGGAAACTCTTCTGATGAACGATAACCGGAGGATAACTGTGCCTTTGGGGCCTCGAATTCCAAACCTGTTAGAACTAAGCCTCGAAGATAACTGGATCACGACGCTTGAAAGATCCCCCTTCCGCCTGCGGCCAAATCTGAAGGTTCTTCGGCTTGAGGGGAATAAAATCATCCATGTGGTCAGGGATGCCTTTGATGGACTTGACAAACTTGTGAAACTGTATCTGAACCGTAACAACATCGAAACGGTAGAAGCGTTTGGAGGAAGTTCTGCTACAAGTAGTTTGGAAATTCTGGACTTACAGAGAAACAAACTCGAGTCTATAACGATTGGTACTTTCACTGGAATTCCGTTGCTCACGGAGCTCAACTTATCGTCCAATAACATCTCAACGATTGAAGATGGGAGCTTCAGTGGTCTCAAAAAGTTACGTGTCCTCTACCTGCATTCCAACCAGATCTTTCGGCTGACCAACGAGACATTTATGGGGCTGTCCTCATTGAAGCGTCTTGTTTTGGCTGACAATAAGATACAGAATCTACCAGATATGGTCTTCAGTGATTCCACAACGCTAGAGTTTCTTGATCTTGTATCTAACGGCATCTCCCAAATCACAGAGGCAGCATTCTCTGGATTGTTCAATCTTACGGGTCTGTATCTGGGTAGTAACAACATCAGTTTTGTGGAGGACGGTGCGTTTCGTGATCTGGTCAAACTAAACACGTTGTCACTGTCCAACAACAAGCTACAGGACATCTCAGCTTCAACTTTTATCGGTCTGGCTCCTGACGATAGAACAGACAGTACAGGACTGGAGGTGAGCATTAGCCAATTCTACATGGCTTGTTTTCTGTGTTTATGCTACTTCTCAATTGTACAATCACTTCCCCGTCTGTTAGCGGGTCCAGTTTAACTTAAATGTATCAATAATAAATGTTATCAAATTCTTGACTTAATGTATAAAAGCTCAAGCCATCGCAGGCTCTTGTGTTTCACCACATTAGAATCATTATAAGGTGTAAAATTTTGCACAAAGTCACAGAACCCTATTTAGCTACAAGTCATGGAACTCACAAAGTAAGATGGTTGTATTTGAATGATGATTATTATTTAAAGATAAGCAGTGCAGATTAGAAGTAGGATAACAGTTAGTTTACAGGCGAATTATGTCCTGACTTAAGGTGCTGCACCTCTCTGGGAATCGTCTCACGGCTGTGAGGAGGGAGGATTTCGCAAGGCTGACAAAACTGACTTCTTTGCGGCTATCCGTAAGTCGTAGGAATCAACTATTCTCTTCTCACAGTAGGGTTAAATATTACACAGATATATCAACAATTTCTCCGTTTTCTTAAATTAGAAAATGTTTATTTGCTTCCCATCTTGTTTTTCATAGCGCTCTGGGTTCTTTGTTCTCAGGGACTTGTTCTTTGGCAGATAGCCAAAAGATGTTTGTCATAACAACGGCCCTCAGTATGCAGTAAGCATGTCTTTACTGCATGAATCATCAAACGATATAAAAACTACATTCATATGGCTTAACATATGTGTTACAGCATATATAAAAGGAAAGGTAACAATTTAAACGTTTACTTTACGCACTAAGGTTGTATAAGGTTTGTCCAACAAAATTTAAATTGAATGCTAAGCATCTGAACACTTGCCTTAGGCATTTAAAAGGCTGTTATCACGTCTACAACAGGTCAATGAAATTACAAGTGAAGGACTGGAAGATGGTTCATTCGCCAACCTCGGCAACCTTGTCTACTTTACTCTAAGGCGCAACCTTCTTACGAATATTTCTGCAGCAACACTTCAAGGTACACATAGCATATATCATATCTACACCGTACATTGATAACAAGGACTATCCGTGCCGAATTGCTGGGTGATGTTGGGTGTTTGGATGTTATGCAAACTTAATACAAGTACAAATTTGATATTGTTTAGATATCGTCACAACCCCCCTCCCTTCCAACACACACACGTATCTGATTGGATTGTTATATTACATTGACGAAGACGATTTTAATAATTGTAACAAAATCGGATGTTTTTGTAGGGTTGACGGCTTTGCAAACATTGCGACTAGGAGGAAATGAGTTCCGAGGCTTCCACGCGTTTGCGTTCGCCAATCTACCAACCTTAAGAACGCTTTCACTTCCGAGGTACATGTACCTATCTTTAGTTTATGATTTTTTTAAAATAATTATATTATTAGACTTATAATAACACCTTTATGGTTGGGGAAAGCACATTCTACTATTAATCCCAATGAATCTTTAGAATTATTATGAGCTGTATTTTAGGAATTGTAATATTTATTAGCCCAAGGACTGCTACGGTATTGATAGACATTTTCTCATCCAGTTTTAGAGTCATAGTTCTTTGTTGGTAAACTATTAAGACTGTTAAGTTACAAATTACTTAACATTTCTGTTCATTACTTCTTTGACGATGGACAGAGGAAAGAAAAATTATTGCGTTTTCAACTACAGGAACCCCTACAGTAGTAACTCCTTTCACCCTGATGTATTCGGCAATTTAACGGCACTACAATACCTGGATATCTTCAGAGCAACGAGCTTGTCACCGCGTATGAGTTTTCATTGACATTAGTCTTTATATCTATCTATCTATCTACCTATCCATAATTATTCATCTATCTAATATTATGTATATTTATCTATCTATCTATCTCTCTCTCTCTCTCTCTCTCTCTCTCTCTCTCTCTATATATATATATATATATATATATATATATATATATGTAGAGAGAGAGACACACAGAAGTCAGAAAATCTAACGTGAAATGTAAAAATGATATTAAAAAGTTGTACATTTTCAAATTACTTACTTAACTGCTAAACCTTTCTACCATTCTCCAATGCTTTATTCATTATTGGCGTTGCCTGTTCTTGCATGATTATTTTTGTGGTGGGGGCTTATGTTTTTCCTACAGGTGTGTTTCGCCACCTACCCTGCCTCCAAACTGTGACATTTGGGAACAGTCTTACCTGCGATTGTGACATACTTGATCTGGCGAAATGGCTGAATAAAACAGGTACATTTTTTATGTACAACCTTGCTATTTTTGCTCTTCATTAAGCTCAAGTCAATTCAAACATACAGATAGAAAAGCAACAGTTTTATTTCAATTTCTTTTTTTTTTCTTTTGTATGCAGATGTAAAGGCTCAGCGATATAGCACTTCGTCAGAACCAGCGGCCTGCTATATCTACAATCCGCGGCGAAGGGGAGTTCTTCTAAGCAACCTACGAGAGGAAGACTTGCAGATGACGTGCCCAACGACAACCGACCCCCCACCCACGGAATCTACTGTGCAGACCTGGTAAGTGTTCATCAGTGTCCTTTCTTACCTTCGGGACGGAAGTATTGTTATGAGTGGCGTTAATTCATGCTAGGTTAGTATGTTTGGGTTCCACTGATGTGAATCGGCAGAGATTTGGTTTCTGAATTGATTGACAGGATTTTGACCCGGTATGTATTGGGTTCGAGGATGGGGTCGCCAGGAACGTATGAAGTACAAACCACGATGTCACAGCGGAGTAATTCTTTAATCTCTAATTTCTTGTCACTAATGCGAAAACTTCAAATCAAAAGAGCAATGTTTGTCACATGATTGAGGGATTACTTCAGCCTACAAGTTTCCTTATAGTTGACAATGAAAGAATAAGGGATTGAGGGATTACTTCAGCCTGCAAGTTTCCTTATAGTTGACAATGAAAGAATAAGGGATTGAGGGATTACTTCAGCCTACAAGTTTCCTTATAGTTGACAATGAAAGAATAAGATACCAATAAAATCTCGGAAGGCCAATATTTTGTAAAGATGGCATATAGATGTAAGGAATCTAGACTGTATATAGTTGTCATGAGTGATGATGCGTGTCTCCTTTCAATTTTGTTGTCTCCCTCTAAATACACTCTCTCGCTACTTCATCTTCTGCACAGCCCAACATCTCTTACAACTGAAGTGATGACATCTCCTCGCCTTGAGACAACTCCGACAGCAACAACACAGCTTCCACCCTCTCTTACAACAACACGAAAGCCAGGAACATGTACCACCCCAAAGAACATCGCCGTGCAAAACGTACAGGACTCTCGTGCTGAAATCACATGGTTTCACGACGGTAAAGCTGCAAGTGTGGACCTGACAGGATTCGTCATTCAGTACCAAATCTTTGGGCAGAAGTCGTGGATAGATACACAAGACATTCACCACAATGGCCGTAACTTCGCCATAGTCGACCTTCTTCCCAACACGCCCTACCAAGCATGTGTGGCCGTTCTTTGCAAGGATGAGCCTAGAAAGCCAGGACTGGACCACTGTGTGACATTTACAACGAAGATGAGATCTACAACAATAGTCGGCTTGGCCATAGGCATCCCATCGTTGCTGGTCATTCTGTGCCTAATGGCGGCAATCGTCATTGTCCTGAAAAAGAGAGGGCCTTTCTCTACAGAGCAAGATGCTGGCCACACCCCTGAGCGTCCTCAACCCCAGGTATTTCCTTTTCATTGCATTATCAGTAAACTTTTTCCTAGTGTAGTCTGTGTGCAATACAAAACCACACTGTTTAGTTGTCTATGGAGCCTCTCTCATTGGATTTGTGACAGTTCTCCGAGTCTAAGCCAAGAGGCAATTTTCAAAAGGAGATCTACCAATAGGAGCTCGCCATTCTTTGTCACCATAACTCACAGTCCAATAGGAGTTCAGCATGTTCAGACACCGTTAAAAACGCCTCTAGCACCTTCTCTGACATAGTCACAGGAAAAGATGCTGAAAAAATAACGAAGAACTATTAGTGTATATTCTTGATATTGATTATTACTCCGTGAAGGAGGTCAGGACCTCCGGACGGAGTGTTGTAATCGGCTGATTTTTCATGTTCGCAGTCAAAACACTGGGTTCTCTTTGTGTAATCGGCACGCAATTTTATACGCCGTCTGCGGGCATGCCCGTGTTGATGCACGAATGTGTATTTTTGCCGTTGCTGCTTTCGCGGTCAATGTAATATCGCAGACGCACCCCTACAATTACGAGGCGAATTGGAATGGTCCAGAAAAACGCGTTGTTTGGAATAGCAGTGGGGTTCAAAAAAGTTCATGCAGATACTGGGTGGTTCCAGATGTTTTTGCCCATGGTTAAGAGATGCCAAGTTTTTTGGAAGATGTTCGCAGCCAAAACGCATTCTTCCGTACGTCGCATTTCTGTGTAATTTCGCATGTGGTGTTGCATTATGTCCGGGATGATGCACGTCTTTTTATTTTTACCGTAGCTGTTTTGATATTGGAGTAAATGCTTATTTTCGAAACATCCCCATTTCTTTGAAATGGTTTCGTCCGTTTATGCAACTGTTACTGCGCTAATGACGACCAGTCGCGCTGTCCTGATACACCGCGAATGTGCGAGTGTTCCCTGTAGACAGTCCCGGGAGTCATTTTTTTCGCACATTCCAGGAGCCAAACCAAAATACGTTCATGAACCGAGTCCAAAAAACCGAAACGTGAAAATCGGATGATCGGACCTGATGTACATTTCTCTTTCTATAGATTGTACACACAATACACACATCTTTAGATAATCTGGCCATGGCAGGTTAAAAAAAAGTAAACCTGAATCATACTAGATTAGCGTAAATGCATGTTAATGCGTTCAAAACAAGAAAAAAATTGTTTCCGGGTATTAATCTCTTGAATCACGGCGCTGAATATTGACGCAAAAATATTTCGGGCATCGCGCGCCCTTCCCGCGTCACGTGTAGGCATCTCGCATCTCTGATTGGTTGTTGCGTCTTAAGATGACTGAGCCGACGCGCGTTTAAACAATTTTTCTTTGTTCGATTTATCACACTTCACAGAGAATTGTCGCCAATGGCTACTTCTTTTTGTTGCAATATATAATACTTCACGGAGAATTGTCACCTATGGCTTCTTGTTTTTGTTCAAGCAGAAAGTCCCCGGCTTGGCCCCAGTTAGGAAATGTGGCCTTAGCATAACTTAGGAATCATCTGCAAACCCAAGATAGTAACATGTTTCCCTTTTTGAATTTCAGGAAGCCAACCACAGCCCGGCTGACGCTGCAGTTGGTACCGTGGAGGACCCGCCGTACCACAGCATCAACGACAATGATCCCCAGGTACGTCCTGATCGGGAAAACAGGTACCAAAACGCAGGATTCGAAGAGGAGCCAGGGGCTGATGGAATCACCAGCTCATATCTGGATTTGGGCCAAGCTGGGGACGTCCTCAACTCGGCAGGTTTGTCTGTTCGTATTTATTATATTTGGGTCCTCCTAGCGGTTCTCTGTGGTATTGCAGCAAAACTTTCGGTTTCTTCTGGACACTTTGGTATAATGCATGAAGGCAAGCTATATCCACGTGCCCGGAGTTTGAAATCTCTGATTATGTTTACCATCGCAGGAGAAAAACGTATTGTTTTTACTCCGTTTCTTCTTCTTCTTCTCCAAAACGAAGAAGGTCAATGACTTGAGTCAGACGTCTGTCACCATGGTAACTAGCACTGCAGCAACACCCTGTAGTGTTGGGTTACATTTTGTCGCAGGGCAGAGTTGGAGAGCCGGCATGACTCACCGTACACATGAAACATATATTTGGCTTTGAGTAAGCAGTAGTTCGTTGGGCTAGACCAGGTGAAGGTAAACATTATGCATTTTCTATGCAAATGTCACGTTTTTAGTTTCTTGTGATACCTGTTTGCAGCCGGGGAGCCACCTGGGAACCGAAGGTTCTCCGAAAGCTCCTTTAACAACCCCGTCTACACGGCGGACAGCGTCAACGAAAACATCTACACGAGAGTCAACGACGACGCCCTGGAAGGAGCAATGGCAAGAGCGTCATCCGCAGAGGAAGACGTTTACATCGATGTTATCGCTTAATCGATAAATTTGAGCCTGCATGCAGTAAAACTATGGCCCGCTTTACACACACCATTTGTAAGTCGACTCAGCGAAGTTGACTTGAAAAATTTCTGTTCACACACGAGGCTGCAAAGCAACTTGGCACTCCCGCTGTGCCACCCTCCCCTCAAGTTGACTTGGTGGCTCGGTATTGTCTGACTACTACGCAGAGACACTCAAGTCGACTTCGCCCGTTTACACACACGAAGCTAGCGGACTCAGCACCCTGCTGGCCGACGTAAGTCTGGTTTGGATACGACTCAAGTCGTCTTGATTAGAATGATTAAAATTCAACTCAAATGAATGATTTGAGTTGAATTATTTCTCTCTACACAGAGAAATGTTCTCTTAAGTCGACTAGCTCAAGTCGTCTTGAGTTCTAGTTGACTTGAAAAAGTTATGTGTAAAGCAGGCCTATGAAAACACTTTGCTGAATTTACAATATGTATAGCGATAGCTGTGTTGATTAACCAGTAATTGTCGTTTAGGCCACAGCAAGTAATTTTTATGGATGACATCAACGCGCGCATTAATTTTCGCCTGATTTTGGAGAGAAAAAAAAAGAAATTTTGTTCCCTTCTGACAGTGGTCACCATGCCGAAAATGGGCAAAGATGTCTGTTGCCATGCCGGAAGGTGGATGGCAGATAGCTATGAAGAGAGGAGGCAAGAAAAGGCTCTGATTTAATGCTTTTTTCTTACTTTGATGCAGTGATATGTGATAGTGACTGTGTATATGTGATGTTCCCACTGAATCAAAAGAATCTGTACGATTATCGAGTCAAAATTTTAAAATGTAGGAACTTTGTTTTTTTCGGCCCGCCTTGTTTTTTTCCGCCCGCTCGCATTCGATTTTGAGTCTGTGGAGGATGTCATCCATAAACTTTCCTTGCTGTCGCCAAATAAGGCCAAGGCCTAAGGGGAGAAAAAAGAAGAGAGAAGGAAAAGAATGAAGCAACCGGCTGCGGCACCATTCATCTCCTTCTCTCGCCCGGCTGTATATAAAACATCTATATAAGTTTTAAAACTTTAAAAACTTTGCTTAATTTTTACAATTTGTATGAAGATATCTGTGCTGATTGATTATTATTACGGGAATTGTCATATTGTATTTTGTTTTCACGATGTATACCTCATTTTATCTTTCGTATTTAGGTGTAAAGTTATATGATGATTAATCTTTAGTACATGTTCTTGCCAGATGGGCTAAATGCACAAGAGGACATGCAGTACGCAAAACATGATTATTGCATACTGGAACGCTATATTCTAATGCTAATTGCTAGGAATTAATACATTATAACAATACTATATACCTTTATAACCGAACCTTATACTTCCTGTAACTTAGCTGGCATGTTACGCCGAAGGGTAGTTATACCGGTTATACAGATACAGAAATGCAGATACTGAAACTCTTGAAATATTTCTACACTTATAAGACGTCATTGTATAGACCAAAAAGCCACAATAACAAATTTTGTGGTGGTGTTATTACGTCAAATAAAATATAATTATTATATCAACATTGAACACTTTAATTGATACATAAAGCCGCATTTTTGCAACGTTTTAACCTTTCTGATTCAAAGATGCTGTTTTGGCAACATAGCAGAATACGTTATTTAACAAGACAGCTTAAAAGTGCATACTACAGTGGACCTCACTTGAAGACAGAAGAAAGATGTCTAGACTATGCATGATGTACAAAATGACTAATAAACTGGTGGATGTCCCAACTACTAAGTACCTAATACCAGCCCAGAAGAGAACAAGAAATAGCCACGCATTCAAGTACCAGATTTATCAACCAAGGATTGAGGTGTTCAAGAATTCATTCTTTCCTAGAACTATCGCAGAGTGGAACTCACTGTCACCAAGTACAGTAGGGGCACTGTCAATAGATAGCTTAAAACAATGTCTAGAGCTAGAAGTTCAAGGGTTAGGTGTAACAAGTCGATCGGTGTAATATAGCCAGCTGCCGCCGCGCCGCGTGCCTGCGAAGCTGGTGTGTTACGCCGAAAGGCGGTTATACCGGCTATACAGATAGAGAAGCTGGAGTGTTACGCCGAAAGGCGGTTATACCAGCTATACAGATACAGATACAGATACTAGCAATTCATACTTATACCACGTTTTGACACGTGCACATAATAACAGCTTTTGTGGTGGTGTTTTTTAAAATAAAATGAAACTATAATGATTGTATCAACATTGAACACGTGTTTTCGCACATTTAAGTAGTTTCGTTACTTCGCGTAAATTGGCAGCACAAATATATCCGTGTGAAAATAATGATTGTATCAACCTGATAAGATCAATATTAAGCATGTCAAGGGTTCCAACTGCGCATGCGCGAGGTCAAAGGTGCAGGCCCTTCTTTTGTAAGTCGGTTTTAGCCTTGACTATACTTAATACGTGTCCCGGCGTGTTTTGGTTGTCTCAGGGACATTCAACTTTGACATTTTACGAAAAAATGCAGCACGTCGCTTGTCCTTTACCTAGCCTGGGGCGACCTCAGTGACTGAGCAGGGCCTGAAGGACAAAAAAATTACCTTTTGCTAGGAGGAAAGGTCAGATTTTATCTTCATCACAGCAACGTCTTGTTTCCTCAGCCTCTAGCTTGATGTGTATCAGCGTTAGTACGGATCCAATCACATGCATGAAATGTTCCCACTGAATGTCTGTACATAGCTGGGAGGCAAATATTCCAGCTGATTCAACTGTCAACCCTTCATAAGACGTTACAGATCATATCCCAACACCACATTCATTCATTCATACATTAACTTGCATATTTTTAAAACTAGAAATACCAGAGCCCTGGCAGCAACTACATGCACCATTAGTATTTACATGAGAAGGTGGGAAGGGGGGAGTGAACCTGCCAATTAGCAAGGCCTTCGTCATCAAAACTTGTCAGGCAACTTCTTCAGCTTGACTGCACTAATTCAGGAAACGGCGTCCAAAACCGACCACCTCATATGTGATCTGCCGCTTACAGCTCAAGGTAAGACAGAAGTTACACACAGTACTAGCGCTAAGCCGTTTGTATACTGATGACTGTTATGTGGTGTTTAATATAAAGCAGGTTGGCATAAATTTTGTTTGTTGTAATGTTTCACGATCAACGTGATTGAAAATTCTGAAGGGTAGGTGGCCATTTTGTAAACATGGGGAGGGTTTAAGTAAGTTTTATTTGCATTTTGTTTTAGAATATATAACAAATTGATGTTTTGACACTAGTGTCATCTGATTCACGAAACAAATCAAGAAAATGTCTTAATATTTTTAAAAGTTAAGAAAGGCTTCTGAGGTTCTGGAAGAGACTTATGTGCAAGATACACAAATCGCACACTAATTATGTTCATTAATTCTGTCTCGTTGGGTGTCAGTGCTTACTGACAAATCTGTTGGTATTTCATTCTTTTTGTCGGCAGTTGGACATGATGGCGGAAAACTTGAAGTCCTGCTTGTTGCAACTTGTGCTTGTTCTCGTTGTGGTCTTCAGTACGGTGTCTGCTCAGTACTGTTCGATGAAATGCCGTTGTGAAGGTACATCTATTTACTAATTTCGCCAGAAGGCTATATTTAAGGCAGCGTTTGTGTGTCTGTTAGTTTACATAGGATTTGTCAGTGTCATCGGTCTTGTTGGTATTCCTAAGTTTCATAATCATTTCAACTTATTTATATGCAAAA